AAAAATCCAACTCATTAGCTTTACAATAAGGTTTGTTGAACGTGTAATATAATATTTTCCCTTTTACATTTATTTTAAAGATAGATATCTGATCTTCCTATAATTGTTCCTTTCCATGCATTCAAATGCTTTCTTAACTATAATGTTCCGTGATGACTGTACATACACTTTAACTTTCATGTTAAGTAACATCCTTAGCTTAGAGTTAACAATGTGTTTTATACAGTAATTTTTTTTTAAATCTAGGAGTTTCCCATAGTTATCTATGCCTCCTGGAATTCCCTGTCCCGTGGAGTCTCTGGTTCTCCCTGCAATGCTCCCAATCCCTACATAGTGGTTCTTCCTGGTCTGGGAAGCTAATAAAAGCAAGATCCTTTGTTCCTCCTCAGTAACTTTCCTCTCTCTGCAGAGTTTAGGAACACCCCTGACCCTGACACCCGTCGGAAGATTTTTTTTATGAGGTGTGCAAGATGAAGGATGCACCTGGAGTCTGCTCTGGCATGTGGACAAGGGGCTGGTTTGAGAAAATTAAAAAAGTGAGGGTTGTGTTTCAGGGAAAATGTAACTAGCGAGTTCTGTAGTGAATTAGCTGTGAATGGGGACCAGGCACGAGAGACATAGTTTACTGATGGGGCAACATAAATTAGGAGAGCACATCACAATTCAGTATATATGAATTTGTCCATGCTGAAGTCCAGCATTTGCAGGAGTCAAATCATTTAGAGAACATACATGGCTTGATCCTCCAGTCATTGATGTCAGGGGCAAAGCTCCCACTGATGTTAATGATGCAGGATCAGGGTCTTTCTACACAAACCTATTGGCATCTGCTCTAACATTTTCTATGTTGGCTTTTAATAGCTACATTTTTTTAAAATGTTGGCTATTCATGGTGAAAATGTTATCCATTTGTGTCAATGGCAGAAATATCATAATAGTGATGAAGAATTATAATTATTTTTGTTTTATTTTTTTTATATTAACCTCTGCATGTTAAATGTACAAGTGTTAAAAACAAGGCAATTGTAAGTTACAGGGATATAAAAAAAGCATGTTAGATACCAGTCCTTATTCTTCAAAAGGGAATTATTTTAAAACTCCTTCAAACTCTTCCAAAGTGTTTACTTGTAACTTTCCACAAATATACAACTGCTCTCTAACAGCAGTGTGTTAAATTTGATTATGGCAAATATTTGCTTTAGTCAATGACAAACAGACTGAAACCCCAACTTTGAAAACTAAATGCAACCTTAACTATGGAGTTGCGTCTGACAACTTCATAATGTAAGATCAAGAGGCTTTTCCAAGATTTATGGTGAAAGAACAGAACAACCATAAGAAATCAGGATGTCATCTGCCTGGATTTACTGTAGTTAAAGAAATGCAAGGAAAACAATACCCGAGAACACAGATTTAAGCTACTCTTTTAAATAATTTGCAGCTTATTATACAACAAAGACAATACTTTCAACTGCTCACAGTTTAGAAAAAATAGTTATCCTTAGACAAAAAAGAATGAAATGTAGACTGCCATTCCATCCTAGCAGTCAAAAATCCCCTTTTCTGGACAAGTCACTCCTTAAAATATATATTTGAGCCACTGCTTTGAATGGTAAGTGACTTTCTAAGACATGATAGTCCCTCAGTTAGAGAGCTACAATATTTTACCCTGACCCCACTTATGTGAAACTGAACCACAGCCCACAATAAAAACAACTTGGGAGAGTTCTAATACATGCCATGGAAAAATCATCTTTTTGATGAAGAAAGAAAAAAGAAAGAAAAACCAAATATTTGTGGCCAACATCTTAATTGAATTGTTTTGTTTGGGATTAGTTAGATATTTAACCATGTCTGCTTGAGCTGCCGCAGTGGCTCTTGGGAATTGTAGTTTGCATGCCTTGTGCCATGCCATTATCCGCAGTGAGCTGGGATCCCTGGTTGGACTCTTACATGAGGCCCATAATCTCCCCTCTTGTTGAACCACTGAGATGCACCATAAAAGTCCCATAGCGTGGTGCACCATGGGAGATGTAGTTTGGGCATTGAGTCTAGCCCATAAAAAATATTGTGGGCATGAGGTACCCGAACTACTACTCCTATGATGCACCGTGGCAGCTCAGGGGGACATATTTTAATGAGAACCAAGCTGAACTTAACATTTAGATTATGGTTCCAAATCTAAAACGTTGTGTTTTTCAGGGTGTTCAGGTTTTTCATAAAAAGGTAACGTTTTCAATGGAAGCAGAAAAAATCGTTTATTACAAAACCAAATTTTTAATTGAAAAAGTTTCAATTAAATTTTTGACCAGATCTACTCAGATGACCTATAAAGTGAGAAGTAAAAATCAAGATACCTGTTTCTTTAGCACCATTTTGTCATATTCAACTTGAATATTTATTATGCTGGTGCTGAAAATAAAACCCTTCCAAATGTGTTTATTTTCAAAATCCTCAGAACATTTTCCTGCCTCCCAATGATCACAATGCACATAATAGGAAAAGGCTTTGAAGGAAACCAAGCTATTATAATATTGAATGGCACTGCTGTCAATCAAACTCTAGGACACAAATGCTGGTCCCAGTGAAGTCAATTGGAGTTTTGTCTTTGACTTCCATGGGAGCATGATTTGGTCCATCAAGTGATAGATTACACAACTGAAATAATTATTCATGTGTTTTTAAGTTCTATACAGAGAAAAACAAACAAAAAAACAACCCCAAACCCAACCATCATTCCAGGTCCTGCTTCTTATGGCATTCTCTCTCTGTGTGTATATTTTTATATATACACACACGTACACACGAGAGAGAGAGAGATTCAGACCACAAAATCCAGATCCTAATTTGAATACTCCAGTTTTTAGAGGAGGGAGGATATGTATCTGAAGTTTTCATTAATCTCATTACAAAGATGGACCATTCACTAAATTTGGATCCAGATCAAGGTTCAGATTTAAAGCTTTCCTAAAGTTTGGCACTGCTATAAGCTGGAGTGCACTGGCGCTGGAACAATTTGTATAGTGGGGGTTCCCAAAGCCATTGAACAAAACTGTAAACCCTTTATATGATGGGAAATATTTCAAGTTAGGAGGTGCTGCCATACCCCAGCATCCCTACTTGCAGCACCCCCCCTGGAATGCTGTACTAGATCCAACTTCCCTACCCCTATCCTGTTGATTGAAAATGTTCACATGCTTCTATGCATTTTCCATCAGGCTCATGCTTTGAAAAGCCTCTCCTCTCTCAAAACTGTTGTTTTTATGAGACAGTGTAAAAATAAAATGTCAGGTCAAGTCAGTTCCCAAAGTGAAAACACTGGCATTGAGAATCACTCCAATAGCATCATCATTATCAGGACTTCTTCATGTTACAGCAGCAAGAAGAAACAGCACAGGAGGGCATGTTAAGTGATCCAGTTTTAACAACACCAGGATGCCAGAAATGTTTAAATACATGGAGAACTCCTCAGGTGACTATGCTTAGTAACATAACTTGGGTCATTCCAACTGGACCACAGCAGGAAATAGTTGCTCCGTTGAAGTTAATGACAAACTCCTACTGACCTCAAACAGAGCAGAACCAGGCCCTTACTGAACAAAATGGATGAACAGCTTGTTGTGTCTCCATCTAATACAATCTATCACACTAAGATCTAGAAAGGAGAGAGCAATATGGCAATCTAAAGACAAGCCTCTGAAAAATGTTACAAATATATCAAAAGCCAAAATTAGTATTCACTATCTAAATATACATACAAATATCAATCATCAATCAATCAGAAATGCTAATGAATAAACTTCTAATTTTAAATAATTTTAAAAACTGAACACACATTTCCCCAGTACACAGTACTTGCAGAAATTCCAAGACAACGGATCAAATTCTGTTCTCCATTACACACATGTAACTCCACAGAAGTCAATGGATTTGCATGCAGGTAAACAATGGCAGAGTTTGATCCAATGCCTTGAGTTATATTTTGGAGACATGTTTTTCAAAAGTTGAGGGACCTTGAACTTCTACCACAAGAAACTTTGCTAGTGCTAAAAAATTCAACTGACTTACAAGTAGCATTCTATATTTCTAGGTGACCACTGAACTATGGCATATTTCACACATCTTGTTCTAGGACAGTAAACAGTAGGGAATTTTTATTCCATAGAGCTACAATAAAATAATTACTGCACGACCAGCATTTGTGGCTTTTGATTTCATAAATATTCTTTGTCTTCACTGAGCTTGCTAATGATTTGATAATAAAATTAACTCATAGACCTAAAGGTCCTGTACACAGACAAAACCTACCTGCAAATATAAAACAAAGAAATAGTAACCTTGTTTTACCTAGAACTGTGGTGCTTTCCGTTGATGAGTGGGGAAGGGAGGTTTATAAATCAGAAGTGTGAGGATGTGCTTCTGTGTGCATATACACTGTTTTAATGATTTTAAACATTTTCAACACACAGAGATATATGTATGTGTATACGTACGTGCGTGTATGTGTAGTATATACGTATTTTACATTTCCAAATCAATATTAACAAAAATGATCTAACATATGATGCCCCGTATACAATCTAAATTAAAATCAACTCCACAGAATATTCAAGGACAAGGCCACTAAAATGCCAGCTAATAAACTGCTGGACAAACATAGTGTGGTACTTAGCATTAGAGGTCCTGTCATAGCCAAGCAGTGGCCACAACATTTAGCTTTCTCCACAGTCTCACTTAGAATACTGTTGCTATGGTAGAGTTGTTCAAGATTTATACATTGTTGAAAAAGGGAATGGAAAAGACAATTTCCTCCATTTTAATGACTGCAAGGGCTGTGGAACGGCCGAAAGATGGTTTGTGAATGATGCCTTTTAATGGGCAACATTTTGGAAACTTCAGACATCTCTTGGGAGTATTTATTTCCCAACATTCACTCACTCAAATACTGTCTGCCCAATTTCTACATGTATGTAATTTATTCCACCATATTGCAGTCTTACCTCCTGTCTGAGTGATGACTTGAATGTCAGTAGAGAGGGGTCCATCCCCGACAGAAGTAAAAGCAAGAACCTTCACAGAATATGTTTTCTGTGGTACTAAATTTCCAATAGTGGTGATATGGCTGTCAGCCACATTGTGTTTCATCCAGCTGTTGACATGTTGGGTGGGGTCCATGGTGTAATAAACTCTGTATCCTTGAATTTGGCCATTTGGTTCCTCGGGTTCTTCCCATTGTACCAAAATTGTAGTTGAGCTCAACATACGAGCCTGTACACTGCGAGGTGCACTAGATGGTGCTTGTTCTGAGGTCCTTGTTGACACTGGCTCACTGGGTGGGCCCCGTCCAATATTATTTACAGCAACTACCCTGAATTCATATTCTGAATATGGGCTTAGACCTGCAACACTGTAGCGTGTTGTAGCCACCCCATCAATTTCTTTATACAGTTCCTCAGAGTTTTTAGGTTTATGTTGGATTATGTAGTAAGAGACTGGCTCAGGGTTACCAGAATCCCAAGTCAACGTTATGCTTGTTGCTGTGCTTTCCGTCACCACAGGAGTTCCTGGAGGTTTGGGTAAGGCTAAAAATAATACCATAAAATTAAGTTAATAACCAGTACATACCAATCCTTCTTTACTCTTAAAGTGTGATATGAAATCAAACAAAGCAAATCATGACATGGGCTGCAATGTTGTTGCTTTGGGCAGGAGCTACATCCCCTATTTAGAATTCAACTCTTTCATAGGAAATCCGATTGTTTAGTACTGTTATTTATTCCAGAAACTTAACAGAGAACACAGAAATATCTCAAATCCCCCATTAAAAAAGGTCTTTTGATACATGGCACAATAATGATTTTTACCATAGATCCACTAAGGCTAGGTCCACACTACCCGCCTGATTTGGCGGGTAGAGATCGATCTTCTGGGATCAATTTATCGCGTCTCATCTGGACGCGATAAATCGATCCCAGAAGCACTCCCCCGTCGACTGCGGAACTCCTACTCACCGAGAGGAGGAAGCGCTGTCGACGGGGGAGCTTGCCTGCGCCGTGTGGACCCGCAGTAAGTAAACTTAGTTCGATCTAGGAAACGTCGACTTCAGCTACGCTATTCTTGTAGCTGAAGTTACGTTTCCTAGATCGATCCTCCACCCCAGTGTGGACCAAGCCTAAGCATCTGCACAAGAACAGCCTTGCAGACAGAGAGCATGCACTGTTAAGGTTCTATTTTCAGAGTGCTGGATACCTTCGGCTTCTAATGAACTTAACAGGAGTTGCAGACAACCAATAACTCTGAAAATCAGCCATCAACTTTTTAATCATTGCTACTTTTGAAAAATATACGGCCCTTGATTTAGCTAGAATGAAGGTAGCAAAAAACAGTAATGAAAGGAGAGGTTTGCTTATCTACTAATATGATTGCTGCCTGAATCGATAGTTTATAATTTTAGTAATGCAGGAGTAGGCCAGATAGATGGACTAAATTCAAAAGAATATTGCAAACAAGAACATGTTTTGCAGTGCAACTATACGATAAGGGCTGATCCTGTAAGGAACTGAACTGATCTCTGCCTGCAGTCAGTACGAGAGTAGGGGAATCAACACCTCACGGTGCATGCTCAGTACTTCGGTAGTGGATCTTATGTACTGTGTAGTGAGTTTAGGCACATCCTTGAACTGCACCACCCCAGGAGGCCTTCCAGTCACAATTCTTGCTTCCTCCTTGCTCTGTGTGGAATGTCAACATCAGCAACTAACTGTAACACACTTGCTCCAGTTGGATTGGCCAGTGAGTGGGGAGCAGAGCTAAGATTCTGCCCCACCTCTCTCCATTGTGTTTACATATCCTGAAGAGGGAGTAAGTAGGTATACAGCCCTTACTTATTGCTGCGTGCCTGGATTCAAGGTCCAGGTAGACTATACAGAGTTTTAAGGGGGTTGTTGTCATTTGCTTTTACTCTCTTGCTCAGGCATGTACTCCAAGTCACAGTCGAGCCCTAAATAATTTTCTGTGGCTATTCTTAAAGCCAGGGCCGGCGCTTCCATTTAGGTGACCTAGGTGATTGCCTAGGGCACCAGGATTTGGGGAGGGTGGCATTTTGCCACCCTCGGCGGCAATTCAGCGGCGGGGGGTCCTTCTACACTGTGGGTCTTCAGTCGCAATTCTGCGGCGGGTCCTTCACTCGCTCTGGGACACGCCGCCGAAGTGCCCCGAAGACCGGGAGCGCGGAAGGACCCCCACCACCGAATTGCCGCCGACGACGACCGGGAGTGCGGAAGGACCCCTGCCTAGGGCGCCAAAAACCCTGGCGCCGCTCCTGCTTAAAGTCTATTTTGCCCTCCAAATTACTGCTTACTGCCACAGCTTTTCAGAACTTAAGAAATCTGTTAAACAATTATCTGCAAAGACAATTATGGAACCAGTTTCACTTAGCTGCATACTGAAGCACAAATGTATTGTAAATTGTGGAAAAGTGGGCAGCATTAATTGTATTCATCTCTGTTACTTGTATTGCTTGTGTAGTGTCTACTCCTGGTGGAAACACATCAGCCTACCAAAGCTCCCGCCCATACCCTATGCTTCTGTTTCTTACTTTTTGTCCCATTCACATTGCACTTTTGTTTATACGGAAAAAGAAAAGTCGTTATTGCTAAGGAAAACCTGCTATTTGCAGATGACAAAATAACAATGTTTGTTTTCGGGCTTCCTTTTCTCTTTCAATAAATGAGATTATGCATTGTGTAGGAGAATGCAGAGGGAGCCTTTACTGCTCAGGAAACAGGCCCAGAAGTTAGCCGTAGTCTAGATCTACATTTTCTTTTGGACTGCCCAATGAAATCTTAGCATTAACCAGGGACTAGCTCTATCAGCAGGCACCGGGGCAGGACACAATACGTTGCATTAAGAAGCAATAGAGTTGGCCCTGCTCTTAGAACCAGCCCTAAATCATTCTGCTCTGCATATATCTCAGGGCATCACCACTTGGGCATTTGAGTTGCACAACCTGTGTGACATGGAGATAGGGTTACCATGGGTCCAGGTTTTCTTGGACATTACCTTTTTTTTGGTAGTTCACTCTCCGTCTGGGTGGATTTTTGAAATAAGAGTCAAAGTCTGGGGTTATTGCAGAGCAGACATTATAGCTCAGAATGAGACCCCGATTGGTCTGCTTCCCAACTGGTCCCTCCCTGCATCCCCAGCTGATGAGTCCATTCCCTTGCAGCCCTGATTCCCAGGCCTTTGAGGGGGCCTTGCAGGGAGGCGCTGACTGACAGCTGATGCTAGGTCCTGGACTTGCACTTGCCACGGGGGCAGCGAACGACACTGCCCCCCACCTCCTCTGAGTACTCCTGCCACAGATATGCCCTCCAGCACCCCCCAGATACCCCTCCCAATACATACACACCTCTCCAGGACCCTCACAAAATATTCCCTCCAGGACCCCCAACTCTACCCCACCTCCAATGCTCCCTTCTCCCCCAGCATCCTCTTTTTGGGAACCTGAAATATGGTAATCCTACTGGAACCCCTTGGCAAAGGGTCCCCTGTTCTTTGCAAACAACTCTCACTTCAGACCAGACAAACTCACACACCAAACACGTCTTAAGGACATTTGGCCATAAAGAGTAACATATAAGGTATCGACAGAAAGCTTGCAACTTGTGAAGATTCTTGATCATTGTGAGATGTACAGACAGGTAATATTTAAGGAATAATGTATTAATATTGAAAATATGCTTTATGGACTTGGAGTAGAAATTAGTCATCGGGAGATAATGTGTCTTGGTGGTGGCCCATTTGGATAAGGTGTTATAATGCAAAGCTCAATTGTTTAGCCATGTGCAATACTAAGACTTTGAATGGTAAACCTTAAGAGGCAACTATCAATACCACTTGAAGATAAAAAAAGGAGCTTTACAACAAGGGGTTTGCCCTGTCTGTGATATAGAAACAAAAGGCTGTTTGCAGTATAATGCAGAGGAGGGAGAAGCACTATCCATTCACTGACAAAACCACCTGTGGATGGGGAGTGCTTTAATGAGCATGTGGATCTTGATTCTTGAGTAACCATCCAGTTGTGCAACAGACTGAACGTTGGGGGGAGATGGGGAAATCTACTTTATTAGACCAGAAAAGGTAACTATTGATAAGTATAGGCCCAGGTTCACAGCTTATGATTTATTTTTGTATTGTAAACATTTATTTGCACCAAACTCTCTCGTTTCTAGATGAAATGTTATTCTTTCTTAAATAAATCTGCTTTTGTTTTATTGTAAATGCTCACAGCAGCGGTGGTTTAAGGTAAAACAGTGACAGGGCTGGATATCACAAGAGAATGAATCAAAGGGACTCATGTATTGGGGTGCACCTACTCTTAATCTACAAGGCAAAGGTAGGGCTTGCATAGCCCAGAGGAGAGTGTTTGAGTGGTTGAAAGGCTGGTGGTGTCAGGGAGCACCAAAGAAAGACTTCATCTCACTGGACGCAGTGGGTAACAAGGTGACTTACAGTGCTGGGTGCAGAGTATAGTTACCCTACCTAAACACACTTCCACTACTTGGAGCCAATACAGATCATCTTCTTCTTTAAGGAAGTGATCAATATTGACTTTGTCAGAAAAACAAAGAACAAGTCATGTCTACGTATATACAGATTATATATGTAAAGTACCTTTGACAGTTATCTGTGCTATTGCTTCTATAACACCAAGGGTGGACATAGCAACACAAGTGTAGTTTGCAGACTGCCTGACATCATTAAGCTCAAGGACATTCCTTCCTATTGGCATATCATCTTCGGGCGTCAAATCTTCAGCCCCCAGCATCCATTTCACATATGGCATTGGTGACCCCACGGCAACACAGGTGATGTTAACACTCCCTCCTGGCATGATCTCATGATTGGTAGGTGGGATAGAGAACCTTGGTGGGACCCGGCGAACTGGAACAAAACACAAAAAAAGTAATAACATATACAAAAAGGGAAAATGAGTTTTGCATATAGACTACATGCACTGTACAGACACAATTTAACATTTTAAACATGTTATTCAATTTGCCAAAAAATAAAATATACAGACTATACAAGTATAGTGTCTGCACAAAAAGTAAATTATTCTATATTTACTTGTTGATATCATTAGACACATTCATACAAAAGTTGATTCAGACCTACTAGGGGCCCACAATTGACTAACTATATACTAACAATACACAAACACCATGCAAAAGATACACACACACATATATATATATATATGCATGTAGTTTGTATGCATATATACATATATTTATATATAATATGCACAGAAGAAAACTGGAGGGTTAACAGCATGCTTGAGTTGAGTACCAAAACCAACTTCAATGCTGCGTACTTCCAGTTGATGTGAATAAATGTGCTGGACCACATTGTCACATCACAGCCCTGGAACACATCACCTACAGTACACTGAAAGTGCAATTTGATTTGCTTTCAGACTCAAAGTGGATGCAGCCTCAAGACCTCACACTAACACTGAAACAAACATAGAAAAATATATATAGTCACAGGAGAAGAAACAAGGCAAAGCCAGTATGAGTACTGGATTTGGTCATGCAGGCAAGCAAATGACAGAATCTGTAGAGAATCATGCTCAGGAAAATGTTGGAGAATCAAAATTACAGAAAGAAACAAAATTGCTAAAACCAAAAAGGAAAACTTATTGGGAGAAAGAATAAAACTAAAAACTGGGGGTTGGATGGGTTGACAGAAACAGGAATTTAAAGGAGGATAGGGTTGGAGGGAGGAGGATATTAGATTAAGCTCAGGTTGTTATGAAGCATCTATAAGGTGGGGCCACTGGGGAAAGAGCAGAACATTTAACATTCAGGGTTCTACTGTGTTTGCATGTAAGGAAAGCAAAGTAAGCTACTAGGATTAGTCATATTAGAGGTTTTCTATATTCAAAATGAGGGGCAGCTGATTGAAAACACATAGCAGGACATCGCATTAACAGAATAGTTAATAGTTAAGCAAACACAACACCGAGAAAAAATTACCAGGCAACAATAAATCAGTGTTCCTGCTTCAGATATTCTCTGTGTGTGCGCACATGTGTGTGGGAGGAGGCAGAGGGAGAAGTGACAGAGAGGTAGGTTTGTATTTAGGCCTTTAATTGGACAAAGTACTCTGCACTGTATTTATTTGAGGTTGATGAACCAGAAGCTAATCGTAAAACATTTTTTTTAATTCAGCAAAAAACAAAAAATAAAATAACAGACTATGAGTAACAGAAGAAACATTGTATTAGTTTGAAACCTTTCTGCTGGATTTAGTTAAATTTTGGTGAACTACTATTGACTCAAGAGGGGCTTACTGCGATGGCCTCGTGAGTGAATGACAGGTATGGGGAAACAAGCAAAGAGCATAACATGCCTTCAGCAGCCAATTCAGAGGCCACACACAAAGCAAGAAGCAGGCAAGGTGGAATTTGTAGTATCAAACGGAATAGTTTAGTTTTCATGCTTGGGCTGCTTAGAGAAGCAATTGCAGGGAAATCATTCTTGAACAGCAGGCATCAATATAAACAAGAAATTAAAGGAAAAGAAAAAAGCAGGAACACTGACCAAGTTTACCAGACCTTAGTGTTAAAAGTTACAGGTTGCCATGCACCCAAGTTCATTCTCATCATGCACAACAATTAGATATCAGCACGCATCAAAAGCCATGACCAGGGCATTCTCTGCTTAAACATAACATTAACTTAAAAAAGGCCACAATGCAGCTACATTCATTTCATTTGTATTCTTTGTTATTGGTTTAATTAATAGTTTTGTAAGGTGGGTAAAAAGTAAAAAACACACCAACCTTCTCGCAGCTCTGAGGGATGTAGGGGGTTTGATGCAGAACACAATGAAATGAGGAAAGGAGAAAAACAAGGGAAACACAGAGAGAGTAAAAAGGCCATATCAAGGCTTTCAACTGCTACTTGAACATCTTTATTTGCTCTAATTAAACCTTCCTATGTCAGCTTGAAAAGTTAGCAATTTCTCGCCGCTATTACGGTGTTAGAAACAATAGCTAGCATCATTTTGAAATTTTCCTCTGGATAAAAAAGGTACACATGCTTCATGCAGTACAGGAAAGTCAGTATTTTTTTGAGGATGGGAAAAAGGATCAAACAACTTTCTAAGGATGCCATGAATCTTTTCTTGGGCCAAAAAACCACCCAAAACAAAACAAAAAAGAAAACAAAAAAGGTTGATTGAAACATTACTTCTAACAAAAATTTCAAGATCAAGCTAGATATTTTTGGTAAGATCATCCGCACTACAGTAATGAGCTTAAAGCTGTTTCAGCTTTCACACATATTTTCCGCACCCCACCCCTAGTTTGTAGACATATATATATATATATATACACACACACATATATATAAAATATGTATATAGGTATTGAAGTATAGGCCTTATATTGTACAGAAAGCTACATGAACCAGCTGTTAGAAATACTGTCAAAGAGGAACCACTTCTTTCTGTTTGAAATCAAAAGAACACTTTCACAGATTTTAAAATTAATCATTTCTATTACTTTACAGGGAAATATGAATGTATCCTCATAATTCATACCTGTCATATAGACAAGCAATTCATTTTTAAAGTACAGCCAGTTTTATTACTGCAGTGGAAGGGATTACACTTTTCCGATAATGTTTAAATAAAATATATATAGATATAGATGTGTGTGTGTGTGTGTGTGTGTACACCTCCCCACACATTTTATATATGTATATATATGTATATATATATCTGTATGTAAAGAAGAAATAGAAAAGGAAGAAGAATATACAATTGTGCTCTGCATATATTATTTTAAAGTTTGAAGCTTTTCCTTTGCAACTCGGCAGCAGAGGTTACGTAGACATACACCTCATTGCCTTGGAGTTACACCCAGAGCTGATTAGTAGCATACCAAGCAATTACCTCAGGAGTTTGAAAAGAAAACACAAAAGAAAGAAACAAAACAAAATAATAATAATAAAAAATGCAAAGCACGGGTCTAAATCAATGCAGGAATAATAGAAGCCAAGATGTAAAAGTGTAAATATACTTACAAACCTTAAGTCACAGGATAGATTGAACTCAAGAGTGCTTTTTAAAAAAATCCCTGTCCTCTAAACTTTTAAAACATATTCCGTTACTGTTACTTCTATCATAGCAGTTTGTTTATTACTATGTTAATTGCACAGACCCTGAGAGTATCTCAACACCCCCTGAGCCTGAATGAAGAGTGGATGCCAGGGTTATGTCATTCCTACCTCTGACATATAGATTGGCAGGGGCAGAATAGCGTGTACCCGCACTGTTGGTTGCAACACACTCATATTTGCCTTGGTCAGATTCTTCGCTCAGTTCAATTTGGAGGGCACCTGTATGAATATAAAATATATAGCCAAAGAGATGGTCAGAGAAGGTTTTCTAGATCCATAATTATACACCGCTTAACAATACGAAAAGCCCTGTATGCGAAGGTCCACTCAACGTCGGTTCATTTTCTTGCTAAGGTGCACAGACAGAAAATGATGCGATGAAAAAAACAAAGATTATTTTTTTCACATCATCAGTGCTAGCACAGGAAACAATTTGCATTTGGCAAAAAAAATCACTTTTTAAACATTACTTTTTTTTCCCCCTCGACCATTAAAATGAAGATGGGTGAGACTGCTTCAAGGAAGTATGGCTTTTAAATAAAACAAAAGAGATTAAGTTGTTGGGTTGTTCTATTTTTCTGAGTTTGTTTATTTTTTGTAACAAAAGTAGTGCAAAAGGTGGTACTCTCAAAAAAGACAGGATGGGTTTCAAGAAAGTCTTCTGCTGAAGAAAGCCAAAAATGTGCAGCAAGAACAAAAAAGCTGCTTAAAGTGTAAAAAAAAAGAAACTGCATTAGTCATTCATAATTATCAAAATATTCTCTTAAAGAAATAAAACTCCCTTAAGACATGCAGATTGGTAAGAAAAGAAAGATGGTTTGCCACAACTTACAATCTTTTAGTACGTTTGCTGAAAAACAAAGAGCAGTTGAATTAGAAGACAAAAAAAAGTTTAAAAGCATGGTCTATGCCAACAAGGAAGAACCAACCAACCACTGCTGAGGACCTCAGGAGGGCCCCCCCTAAGACACCCATCAAAATCCACGAGTGGGATTAGCAGTGTGGTGTCACAAAACCCAAGAAAAATACAAAACAAGAATTATAAAAGAAGTGAACATTTTTGTCAAAGTATAAAAAACCAGCAATACCATACACCACCAAGAATGACGACTCATTAACCTTTCATTTCCAAAGCCTGAAGATCAGAAGATCCAAAAATCCAGAGATGGGGTAAATCCAAGAAAAAACAACAACAAAAAACAACAAGGAAAAAAAGCATTGCTGTAATTTTGTAGGGGGGGAAAAACCATTTTCAACTTTATAAAGTTAAAAGAAAAAAAGAATTGGAGACCAACAAAAACAAAAAACCTTTTTTTGAAAGATAAAGACAAAAAGAAGATATTCCATGTTGTCTTCTGCATGTCTGCAACTGTTCTCCAGACCACCTTGGCTTTGGTCCAGAACAAGAACAGCTAAGGAAGAAAAAAATGATCTTTTTTTTTGTTCTAGTTGAACAAAAAAAAAAAAAAAAAAAAAAAAAAAAAAAAAAAAAAAAAAAAAAAAA